CTTCTATAGGCTTAGTTTGTCGGGGGACACCTTACTTCTTCCTTCTCTCTGTCTGTACCTGTGTACTCTCATGTTCAGTAACACGTATCATATCTAAAAGGCAGTATCGCTTGAATGAAAGCACACTCCTAGACAGTGAGAAGTGTCAACTTCCACAGTTGTTTTGTTTCGTTGGTTTAGAGCGTTGCTGAACAATGTTCTAGTGTCTGTATTTGTGTGTGTGTGTGTGTGTGTGTGTGTGTGTGTGTGTGTGTGTGTGTGTGTGTGTGTGTGTGTGTGTGTGTGTATGTGTGGTGTGTGTGTGTGTGTGTGTGTGTGTGTGTGTGTGTGTGTGTGTGTGTGCACTAGAGAGGACAGTGTAATATTGTTTTGGAGCCTTGTGGTTGGGACGGAGCTAACACCTGAATGAACCTGTCACTGCAGACACATTGCTCTTTCAGCTCCAGCGATTACACTGCACCCACACACTCAACATTTTCTTGGTGGTTTTGTGTGTGTGTGTATTTGTGAGAGAGAGAGAGAGAGAGAGAGAGAGAGAGAGAGAGAGAGAGAGAGAGATAGAGAGAGAGAGAGAGAGAGAGAGAGAGAAGAGAGAGAGAGAGAGAGAGAGGAGAGAGAGAGGAGAGAGAGGAGAGAGAGAGAGGAGAGAGAGAGAGAGGCTGGCTTGTGCATAGCCTGTATTCATGTGTCTGTGAGTGTGAGAGAGACAGGAGCAGAGAGTGAGAGTGACACAGTACTGTGTGTTGCAGTATGAGTGTCTAAACCTCTGTTTTATTATAGTTGTCTTCCTGAAACATATAAAATAGTGCTACTACAACTGTGTCCTTTGAGGTTAAACAAGTCGTATTGATTGATACATGCACACCTACAGCCTGGTGAACCTTACCAAAAAAGGAGAAATTATTATGAATTCAAGTTAAAAAAAAATGCACAATACACACATAGAAACTACTGTACCTTCAATGTGTCCTTCGGCAAGGATGTTTATCTTAAAAAGGACTGACAAAGAAAGTTGGAAGGGCTTGTTCTAGAAAAACATCCTGTATAGACATCCACTTATATTATCAATTAATGCTGCATTAATGTCTTGCTTTAGTTACCGTAATTACCAGTTGTTGACTAGATATTAATGCAATTGTAATTGTTCTGTATTATTGCCGGCTTAAATGACTCACATTGGAATGAAGAGGAATGGCTTTTTAGACATGATGTCACCAAGCCCACAGGGTTATGTTGAAATGTGGTTATTTTATTAACGGAAAGAGAGCAGGTTTATTGTCTAAAATATGATGTCAGGTTGTGTTTGGTAAGTGGAAGAGAGAAGCAGACGGATGGGAGGAGACAGATGAAAGACGAGACAATGATGGAGGGATCTGGAAGAGGTCAAGGGGAGATGACACCCATCAGTTTTCTCTCCTTAATCTTTCTTTGTATCACATCGCTCACCCCATCTCCCTAGACTCACACAGAGTCACACACACATAGAGACACCAGATATTATAAACCTTCTGCAATTGGCTTTGTCATGACCTCTAACCCCTATATATCTGTATGAGTGTGTTTCCAAAGGCAGAGCTATAAAACTCGGGCTCAAGAATCAATTTACAGCTGCTTCTTTCTGTCATGTTCCCCTAGCCGCTGGACATGTGTGTGTGTTAGAGAGAGAGTGTGTGAGTGACAGATACATACATTTTAGAAAACAAGTCGGACATAAACAGTCACTTGGTTTTTCAGTGTCTAAACAGCATCTAAGTTATTTTTCAACCACCTCTCTTTACATTGTGAAACAGACGTTTGTGGTGTGTGTTGAATGTTTTTCTCCAAAATCCCACCCAGGAGACCTTTACTGAGAACTATAAGTGGGTATATTTCACTGCTATCTTGACTGTGGAAATGTACTGTCACACTGCAGATTGAGTTTGCAGTTAAGAGTGTCTGTGTTTTTTTGTGTGTGTGCAATGTCTCAAGGCAACACAAACACACATTGCAATGCAGTGTGTGGATATTTCATTGTATTACGTCTGTGCACCGTCAACAGCGTTCAAGTTGTCTGTTAGTCCAATGTTGTAACTTTGATATCCCTACCTTGAGGGAATGTTTTCACCTTTTGCACAAAAATCCACTTTAAGAATTTGAAAAATGTAATAGATTGTCATGCTCAAAGGTCAAGGGTCAAGGTCAGTGTGACATCACCTGACCACATTTTGGCCAATAATTCAGGTGCTACTCGACTGGTTTCATTTCAAACCTTTATTTATCCAGGTGTATCCCATCATTGATCTCTTTTTCAAGGGAGACCTGCTCAAGTAGGTTCCACATGAAACATAAAAACATAAACAGAACAACAAAAAGGACATTTTACAGCATCATTACAGGGATTACAATTTACAATAACTATCCACATGAGCAGGTACCAACAGCTTCCGATTGAGTAGCATCCAACCGAGCTTTAAAAACATTTAGTGGCACCAGATTGCTCAGTTTCCATTTAAATTGCAGACTATTCCAAGACAGAGGAGCTGCGCATCTAAAAGCTATCTTCCCTAAGACAGTCCTAGCAGTTGGTACATTTAATAAAATTAAAGCAATAAATGGCCAGTATTAACTTTATTCATTAATTCATTCTTCATTCATACCATTACAACCCAAAACCAAACTATGACATTGTTCGCTAAGGGTTACAGGAGATGCTGACAAATTATTTGGGGATAAATGATAGGACTGCATCTGTTCTGCAGATCCACCCGGGCAGAGAGGCAAAGTGGGTACTGACAGTCTTGAGTGCATGTGCAGCACAGATCCAAGTTGTCAAGCTGACAGACACATTTCTGTATGTCAGAATAAAGAGGAGGAAGTATATAGAGGATGTTTACTTTTTTATAAAAATGGTTGTAGTTCCCAAGGTCGAAAGGATTAACTAAATCTGAAACTGAGATTTTATTAAGAGCTTCTTATTAAATCGATTAATATATATTTCTAATGATTTTGCAGTAGATACTGTATCTTAGAATCACTCTCAAATGAGATATTTCAGACGGAGCCAAGCTGTCCAATTGTTTCCAGTCTGTATGCTAAACTTGGCTCAGTAGATATGGGCCTGCACTCAAAACATATTTAGACATGTTACTGGTCTGTGATGATGCCCAAAATAATAATATAACACACAATCACCAACAGAGAGAAAGAGGCACATACATCAGATACACAAGGCAAGAAGCTGAAGGTTTCAATTCAGCTGTAAAATCTATCATTATTTTTGGATGGGATTATTTGGCTCCCCATTTCTCTCCCACACATATTCACACAAACACACACACACACACACACACACACACACACACACACACACACACACACACACACACACACACACACACACACACACACCTTCTTTGCAAGCCTCAAGGTATAACTAAGCACTAATCATTATCATATCCTCACCGTCATCGCCCTTCATTATCATGCTCATTATTATCATCATAATCACAATATCACAAGTAGTAGGTGCTAAGAGATTTTATTATTTATTTGTGAAGTGTACAAAGGTATTTGCAGTCTGTAACAGACACCCAATCCAGTCAAGCAGCCTATAGAGCAGGGGTGTCAAACTCAAATACACAGTGGGCCAAAATAAACAAAATGGGTACTAATCGAGGGCCGGACTGGTTCAATGTTTATTGCAATACTTATTGAAATGAACTTATTGCACATATTAAACCTGGAACTAACAAAGCTTAAATTACTGCCTATAAAAACAACATTGACATTAAATAATCAGTTGCATTCATTTCTTATGGCTCTATCTGCAGCTTTTCCGGAGTCATTTCTTATGATTACATTTTTCCACAGGCCAACAACAGCTTCAACAAAACTATTTCCCTCAAAGAAAAACTAAACATGCTCTGTGTCGTGAGAGAAAAAGTGCTGAAGGAAACATCCATGTAAACTCAGTGTGCTGCTCGGTGATGCTAGTTCAAGCCAGATACTTGGCTTCTCATCTCGGGTGCAGGTTCATCAATGTTTGGGCTCAGGCTCTGAGCTGAGGAAACCCTCAGGATGGAGTGAAGGTGTGCGTGCAATATACCGACGGGCCAGATCTAATAGTACAAATTATCCTGCGGGCCGAAATTAAATCCACCAAGGGCCTGATTTGGCCCCGGGCCTTGAGTTTGACACATGTGCTATAGACCATCAAAATTAAGCCTTGGAGTTTTATTTTGGGCTGTTTTGCGCTCTTTCTATTTTAAAGCGGATTTAATTGTTTCACTGGTCATTCACATACTCTTGACTTGCATTACGTACTGTTACGATGCTAAAAAAAGATTCCTAACCATACCTTCAGGTTTATTTATCGTAAATGTAATCTTCCATCATATGTGACAAGTTGTGGTGACCTTAGTCCTGAGAGTGGTATTAGTTGGTCATCATGTCCCACACTGCTGTGATTTTGCACTGCACTTCGGAAGCATTATGTGTCAATCTTAAAATGGCAATAGTACATACTTCCTTTACTCAAGTAGAAGTACAGATACTTGAGTTTAAAAATACTCTGGTTAAAGTTGAAGTACTGACTACACTTATTTACTCAAGTAAAGGTAAAGAAGTAGGGGCTTTGAAATGTACTTAAGTACAAAGTACCCATAACTACCAACTGTTGTATAGAGTAACTGGACCTCACTTTAAATTAATAGAACAATAATGTCATTGTTAGCTAATTAATGTTTCAATCCACCATTTAGAACACAAGCAAAGAAAAACAAAGAGGGGACAGACAAATAAGTAGTGGAGTAAAGTACTGATACCAGAAATATTTACTTAAGTACGGTAACAAAGTATTTGTACTCCTCTACTTCCCACCTCTGGCAAGCACTAATGTTTCCTTTAGTTGTATACAGGGCACACACAGGATCATTTGCAGGATAAACCTAAAAGAATGTACAACTAAACAAAATAGTTGAGACCCAGAGAAATCATTTGTTGTTCTTCTTATTACTCTGTAGGTTGGAAAGTCCCTCATATGAAGTGATGCAGCTGGACTTTGAGGTGGATAATGTGATCAACTTCGTGCCAACCCAGACTCTGCACTGGAACGTCGAGTACCCTGACATGCAGACGACTTCCAGACAAACAGAGAAAGTCTCGCACCTCTACATCAGCAACGCAGACATTCAAGGAATCGTGCCGCTGGCCGAGGTAAGGGATGACTTCACAGATGAGAACACAAACAGAAATCTCAGAGCTACATATTGACATACCCAGCACAAATGTCTTATGCTGGAATAGATTTTCCCCAGCTCATCCCCTTCCTCCAGGTTGATCAAAGCTGTAAAGGTCAGCTTGTTTACCTCCTCCTGTTGCTACAAGCCTCCTGGCCACACACACACAGCGGGTTTCACCCTCAAATGACAAGCAGCCTCTCAAATATGGGCACACAACTACGCGGGGGCGGCCCTACACACCTACCTTCACACACTAATGCTCCCCTTGTGAATGCGTCAAGCTGGCAGGTGTCACTCCTGCTGAGACACAAGCACAGGGTGTCCCTTTCGATCTTTAAAGGTTGCTTTCCATATGCACAAAACATGTAATTGCTCCAAATTGTGAGTTTAAACTTCGGTGTCATTGTTTAAAGCATTACAACTTTGAGAGGCCTCAACATGTGTACTTCAGAATAAACTTAATGAAGACTATAGCTGTTGTGATAAACATGCATTTGTTTTGATAACATTATTCATCATTCAATACCCAACACTTTTTCACAAAGCCAAACATTAAGTGTAACACATCACTATGCAGCCATTAACCCAGTGCCATTGCCTTGAAGCTGTTTTTTCTTAAGGTAACATAATTATAGTTCAAGAAAACACTCATAAAGGTAAATGTAAAGTTTTCTTTCTGGAAAAGAGAGCTAAAATGTACTTAACTTAATTATCTTCAGGCAGGGTCAGGTGAAGGAAAATATTGTTTAAAAGTATTCTCCCCTGTTACATTCCTAATCATCACCACCATGACTTTATAGATTCACAGATCAAAACAAACACATCCCGTAACAGACATGGCTACGACTACAGCAACCAAGAACCTCACACTAAAAATTGAGGAGGAGGATGCTTCTCAAAATGCTCCCAGTTCCATTACCACTGAGGTAGAGCTAATCTGGCTTGATAGCCCTCCTTCAAACAGCAAAGCCCTAGTGAGAAAACCCAATTTTGTTCAGGGCTTTTGCAACCGCTGTCTCTTTCACATACTGGAAAAAGCCAGCTTGAAACCATCATTTCAAATAGCATTTCTGTTGGGATTTCGCTAGCCTTTTTTCAGTGTGAATGGCGCGCTAGGGTGACTAATGCTACGTCTTTTCCCCTGTTTTCTTTAAATCAGCAGCATTTACAACAGTTTCAGTTCAAATGCTCATGGACATTAGCTGAACATTTAAACTTTACAAAAATAATAAAAATTAACAAATGATACTTAAGTTTTTTATGTACAGTATTCATTTAAACATTTCTGTTTGTGTTTTAAGTTACAACTAACTTCACAGAAATGGCATTAAAATATCCTTATGTATATACATACTGTGTACATATATATATTTGTACACAGTTGTGTGAGTCAGCCTCGCAGTATATAAGGCAGCTACGCCTCTGAGTGTCATTTTACTCCCCCTTCAGCGAGCAGCATAGGATGGACAGGGCCCCATGGTAGGGGCTCCATCTGTGCTCATAGAACAAGGGTTACAATACGTAACCCTTGTTCTCACTCACACAGGCTCTGCTCTCTACTGGACCCTTTGGGTACAGTGGCTGAAAACCAGACGAATGAACACCCTGTAGCGCCAAAACATGGACCCACCACACTGCTCCTTAGAGGTCTACGGTTAGTTGCCTCCGCCTACCTACTTCTTTATAACCCATGCAGTGTCAGCGCAGTGGTAGGGGGGGCAGCCAACCCAAGCAGAACCTAACTGGACTGGGTAAAAGCATGGCCAGTGTCCAAGCAAGTAAAAGCAACCTTGCACACATTTCCTGAAGGAGCACAGAGAAATGTAAGTGTATCATGCCCAAGGGGGAGTCAGTAACTGACACACACTCCTCCCTTCTCACCAGTCCTGTGTCATTCCAGCGAGCACTGACTGACTGAAGGAGCCCTATAGTACAAGTCCAGAGGAAAGAACCGCATTAACAGACAGGGCATATGCCGCTTTACTTTACCATCCGAACAAGGCCGCTGAAACAGCCACAACACATATGGAGTTTGCACGGGTCCCAGTGGGAGGCCTTCACTGGCCTCTGAGATTCATGATTTATTTTGGAAAGGTATTTCCCTGCCACACCATTACTGGAGCACACAAACAACTGATCAGTGCGTCTGATGGGGGCCACCCTGTCCCCAGTGGGGTGGGGTGGAAGCCATAAGACATCTATAACCCTCCGCCTGAAATAACTCCTTAAGTTCTTTGGAACAAACATTTAGTCACCCCACTATGGTCACCACGAAGAAGCAAGGGCATGGGGTGCACCTACAGAGCGGTTAGTTCACATACTCTCTTAGCTGAAGTCAATGCAAGCAGCAATGCTGTTTTTCATGACAGCGCCTTCAAAGAGGAATGGTTTGGTCACCATGGCCACCATCACTTATGGCAGTTTCCATTGCGGTCTCCTGATCGCCTGTTCAAACTGCTTCACGAAAGGTTGGCTAAAGACTGGTCTGTTACAATACTTAACCATGGTTAAAAAGATTTTAACAAAGATAACCATGGGAAAGATTGTAGCTTTTTGTAAAATATTATCATTGTTAATATTATCAAACATGTTATCATTGGCTTTTTTCCCAGAAACCTTTGCCTTAATTTGACCAAGTGCTTTGAGTTTCCTGTTAATTTTAATCATGTTGAAATGTCAGTAACATAAAGAAAATAAATGGAAATTATTCTCTTTGAACAGGTTGCACAAACATTCATTAAAAGCATTTCCTGATAAGTTTGTTTTCAGCATAATTGTTTTTTACAAAATGTATTTGCCATTGTAGAATATAAAGATCATTTATTTGTATAGTGATAATTCAAATAAAAATATTCTGCTAACTTTCAGCAGAACACACCACCACGAACAAAACACATATCTTTGTATAACCACACTTCTCTCTCCCTTTGGGTAAAAGCATCAAAATGGCTGCTATTACTAACCATTTGGGCTTCCTGATTTGTTTACCAAAATGGTGAAAAGGTGTTGATTGCTGGTTGGTTGTACAAGGTGTCTTTCACTGAGAGAGGTCTCTGTGATAGGTCACTGAGATGAAAGCGCCAACGTTTTGGGGTCTTTGGAGGATGGAAGGGGTAGGAATCAAATTATAAGCTACAATCTTCAAAGGTAGCCAGATGTAAAAGCTTTCACACAGTCTTGCATCATCCTTCCTAAACAATTCCACATCTGAGGATTGCATCAAAAGTAGAATATCACAGCCATGGGACAAAATGTGGGATCTTTACGGCTGTCAAATATGTAAACAGCCTCGAAACTAAGCCTCACACATAATCACACCAGGAGCACTCAGCACTGGCTTTTAAACATGATTTCTCTGTCTGATCTGTTAGGGTAATTCAACTCCACCTCAGCCATCATCTACCATCTCCCAAATCAAAATGCAGCTTATTAACAGTACTGATGTGGTAATGCAGTGAGTTCTCACAAGGCCACAATGGAAGCAGAACACTGCCTGTCATTACCGAGCTCTTTGACATGTTCCTTCTAGTTCCACATATCCATTAAGGTTTCTGGTATCTTTGCTGCGCGGGAAAGAGAGAGGACCTCTTCAGGAAGCGAGGGATTATTAGGAGTAATTTGTTTCGTGTGGGGGCTGAAAAATTGGTTTAATCTTTTAGAGAGTAGTAGGGAGGTGAGGAGTGTAGGAAGAGTTAGGGAGAGTGGGAGGCGGGGAAAAAAGGGAGAGAGAAAAACTGACGGAAAGAGGCCAGTCTTTGAAGTCCACCATGATTAGGTTGTTAGCATTAATCAATGTTCCTGGTACAATATTTCAATTAGAAATAGTTACAGAACAAAACTACTGCAGCTATTGAACACAGTTTTTTTTGTCTAACCTTCAACCAGCAAAACAAAATAAAAACAATAATAGCAGTAAGTATTATAGTAGCATATTTCCAACAGGCATTTTAAGAAATCAAGCAGCCTTCCCTGAAGCAAAGTGTCAACGCTGATTTAAATAAACACTATGAACAGTTCTATAGAGTGTATAAAATGTACAGGGGGTTGCTATTAATAGATAGTCGCAGTCACATGCTGCATCCTTGTATAAGGTAAATGCAGAAGAGCACACAAGTGGTGATTAAGTTTCAGCATCAAGGACAGCGTCACATACCCTCTCTGACGGTTCCATCTATACATCTTTGACTGTACCTGCAGCCCATCTCAGTGATATAACCAAGGAGAAAACATGAGAGAAAATAATGAAGAGAAAAGGACAGAGAAAAGGAGGGACAAAACAACATCTAATGTTAGTAAAAAGAGAATGAAATGGGATGTCAAACAGACCCTGCTATACTTGTGTTGCTCTTAGAGATATTTTAGCAGCTGATAAATTGGACCAGTAATAATTGTTTTGTGCTCCCTGCTAGCGCCATTACACATGTCAGGCTGGAATGAGGCTGCTTCAAAACCTCTTAGAGCCAGGGAGCAAAAAGAGAGACGGAGACGGAACAATATGTCTCCTTTCTTATGAAATCAGCATTAAAAAGCATGGAGAAATAAATGTTGTGTTGAAACATTACCTGTTCTCTTATATACAAATGGGTAAAAAAAGAACATATATGTCAGAATAAGGAAAAGGTTTACTCTTCTTCGCTGTGTCTTCCCCTCTTTTGTCTTGTTTTGAAACATTTTCTAAACCCCCCTCAGCTCCTTCTTCATCACCCCTTTCTGATCAGCTCATTTCATCACCATCTTTCCTCCCTTCTCCCTTCTCGAATACCTCCAGACTTTTTTATGTTTTCTCTTTTTCTTCTATTTCTCTGCCGACCCATCTTTCTTCTTCATCCCCACCCCCACTTCTAATCCCCAGAGTTTAACCGTAACCGAATGTTTTGCTGTAATTCATTACTTATTTGAACACTTGTTTATCTTTGTTGCTTGAAGATGTCTGTGAGTTTCGCATCTCAGCGGGCCATTCACGTGTGTGTGTGT